TCACAAAATATGATCCTCAGTTACTGTAGGAACTTTGCTAATTTAGAAATAAAGTACTTTAGAAAACTAAGTTGCTGAGAGATTCATACCATCCCTTGCATGAGCATATTGGAAAGGTACACACAGTCACTATCATGTGAATATTTCACTGTAGTATTTCCTAAAGGTTCCCATCAAGAAGGGGGAAAAATATACTCTCCTTGTCTTGATAATTTTTTCCATATTGTGGGCCCCATATTAGGGTAGTTCTTAAAATATATTGAACAAGTAGGGGGAAAAACAAAAACCTTAGACATGCTATTCATGCCTAATCATGCCCAGAATCTCTCCTAGTTTGCCTGTGCTGTGCCATTGGGGTTACAGAGGTCCAGGAAGGAGTTGCTGGTACCACCAGATAGCCACCTGAAGAATGCCCTTTGGAGTATTCTTTCTTGATTAGCCCATCCAGGGCCACCATATGGACCATACACCAGACACCTGGTAAGAGCCACAGATAGCATTCAATAAGAGCAACAACAAAAAATATAAATTATAATTTGCTTAGTTTTAAGGGGCTTTGGAAACTTTCAGCCAAGGGCATTATTTTAGTGGCACTGTTGAGAGATAGTTGGGTCAGTTCTCCAGTAGGACCCAAGTGCACATTAATGTGTCTCCTCTGTTTTATTGGCCCATGTTTAGGGATCAGTTTGGAGCCACAATACTCAGCTCTCAGCTTTTGATTGAATCACTGGTGATTTTTGTTATATATGTTAATATAATTAAGACAAGACCTTTCAACTCTGAATAAAACCAGAAACAAGAGTTAGATTTTTTTTACTACCATATGCATATGAGAGGAGAGGGCCAATGATCTTCTTTCTGATGTGACAGAATCTTTTCAATATATGTAATCTTTAAGAATTCAGAAATATCAACTTGAATAAGAGTGATACATCATAAAATAAAAAAATTGATCTAAATTATGTACTTAAATAGTACTTAAGGGCTGTTTTCAAAAAACATAGCAATAATTTCTGAAGTTCAGGGGTCTTATTCCCTTATGATAAAAAAAAATAAAGCAAAGCATAACTATTCTTACAAATATTTTCTGACTTGTAACACCATCTGCTTTTCTTTGTAGTACAGGGGAAAGAGGTAATATTTTCTTTTTATGAGGTTGAGGTTTCAGCTTCCTAATCAGAATTAGGAGGTACATACCTAAATTCTATTAGTTAGCATTAATTAAGAAGAAAGCTTGAGAAGCTCAAACTAAACAGTATGAAAAGGATAAGAGTAAAATAGATGATGAACAAAAGTACTATGGGGCATGTAATATATTTCCAGTTAAAAATCTTTTCTTGATGTTTTCACCATTTCTGAGTTTTGCTTCTTAAATAAACTACATTTTATTTCACTTTTGTTCACATGTGTTTATCCAGAAATTTACAAATTATATCACATGCTTTTTTATTTTATTTCTCTTTGATTTTTATTTTTAATTAAGATATAATTGATATACAATCTTATGAAGGTTTCACATGAATAACATTGTGGTTTCGACATTCACCCATATTATCAAGTCTTCCCCCTACCCCACGGCAGTCACTGTCCATCACTGTAGTAAGAAGCGATAGAGTCATTACTTGTCTTCTCCGTGCTGTACTCCCTTCCCTGTGACCTACCTATATTGTGATTGCTAATTGTAGTGCCCCCTTAATCCCCTTCTCCCTCTCTCCGAACCGAACAACCCTCCCCAGTCTTCCCCTTTGGTAACCATTCGATCCTTCTTGGAGTCTGTGAGTCTGCTGCTGTTTTGTTCCTTCAGTTTGGGTTTGCTGTTATACTCCACAAATGAGTAAAATCATTTGGTACTTATCTTTTTCCACCTGACTTATTTCACTGAGCATAATACCTCTAGCTCCATCTATGTTGTTGCAAATGGGGGGATTTTTTTTTCAGTGGCTGAATAATACTCCATTGTGTATATATACCACTTCTTCTTTATCCATTCGTCTACTGATGGACACTTAGGTGGCTTCCATATCTTGGCTATTATAAATAGTGCTGTGATTCATATAGGGGTGCATGTGTCTTTTTTGAATCAGGAATCTTGTTTTCTTCTGGTAAATTACCAGGAGTGGAATTACTGGGTCAAATGGTATTTCTATTTGTAGTTTTTTAAGGAACCTCCATGTAGCTTTCCATAATGGTTGAACTAATTTACATTCCCACCAGCCTTGTAGGCGTGTTCCCCTTTCTGCACATCCTCACCAGCATTTGTTGTTCCTTGTCTTTTGGATGTTGGCCATCCTAACTTGTTGAGGTGATATCTCATTGTGGTTTTAATTTGCATTTCCCTGATAATTAGTGATATGGAGCATCTTTAAATGTGCCTGTTGGCCATCTGAATTTCTTCTTTGGAGAAGTGTCTGTTCAGATCCTCTGCCCATTTTTTAATCTGGTTACTTGTTTTTAGGGTATTGAAGCATGTGAGCTCATTATATATTTTGGATGTTAACCCCTTATTGGGTAAGTCATTTACGAATATGTTCTCCCATACTGTAGGATGCCTTTTTGTTCTGCTGTTGGTGTCCTTTGCTGTACAGAAGCTTTTTAGATTGATGTAGCCCCATTTGTTCATTTTTGCTTTTGTTTCCCTTGCCTGAGGAGATGTGTCCAGGAATAAATTGCTCATGCTTATGTTCAAGAGATTTTTGCCTATGTTTTCTTCTAAGAGTTTTATGGTTTCATGTCTTATATTTAGGTCTTTGATCCATTTCAGGTTTACTTTTGTGTATGGAGTTAGACAACAATACAGTTTCATTCTCTTGCATGTAGGTGTCCAGTTTTCCCCAAACCAGTTATTGAAGAGGCTGTCTTTTCCACATTGTATATTCATGGCTCTTTTATGACATATTAATTGACAATATATACATGGGTTTATGTCTGGACTCTCTCTTCTGTTCCATTGATCTATGGGTCTGTTCTTGTGCCAGTACCATACTGTTTTGATTACTGTAGCTTCGCAGTATAGCTTGAAGTCAGGGAGTGTAATACCCCCAGCTTTGTTCTTTCTCAGAATGGCTTTGGCTATTTGGGGTCTTTTGTGGTTCCATATGAATTTTAGGATTATTTGCTCTAGGTTATTTAAAAATGCCATTGGTATTTTGATAGGGATTACATTGAATCTGTAAATTATTTGGGCAAGATTGCCATTTTGACAATATTAAATCTTCCTATCCATGAGCATAGGATAGATTTCCACTTATTTTTGTCTTCTCCAATTTGTGTCTTGAGTGTCTTATAGTTTCCAGAGTATAGGTCTTTCACCTCCTTTGTTAGGTTTATTCCTAGATATTTTATTGCTACTATTGCATTTGTAACTGCAGTTGTTTTCCTTGTTTCTCTTTCTGCTAGTTCATTCTTAGTATATAGGAATGTAACTGATTTCTATATATTAATTTTGTATCCTGCAACTTTGCTAAATCCAGTTATTAGTTCTAATAGTTCTTTTAGTCATTTATGAATGGAGTCTTTACATTTTCTATATGTGATACCATGTCATCTACAAATAGTGACAGTTTGACTTCTTCCTTACCCACTTGGATGCCTTTTATCTCTTGTGTTGTCTGATTGCCATGGCTAGGACCTCCAGTACTATGTTGAATGAAAAGTGGTGAGAGTGGACATCATTGTCTTGTTCCTGATCTTAGAGCAAAAGCTTTGAGCTTTTTCACATTGAGTATGATGTTAGTTGTGGGTTTGTCATATATGGCGTTTATGGTGTTGAGGTACATCCCTCTATACCCATTTTGTTGAGATTTCTTATGAATGAATGTTGATTTTTGTCAGATACTTTTTCAGTATCTATTTAGATAATCATGCCATTTTTATCATTCTTTTTGTCACTGTGGTGTATGATATTAATTGATTTATGAATATTGCACCATCCTTGCATCTCTGGAATAAATTCCAATTGGTCAAGATGGATGATACTTATGATGTATTTTTGAATTTGGGGTCTAATATTTTGTTGATTTTTGCATCTGTTTATCAGGGATATTAGTCTAAAATTTTCTTTTTTTGTAGTGTCTTTGTCTGGTTTTGGTATTAGAGTGATGCTGGCCTTGTAGAGTGAGTTTGAAAGTATTCCCTTCTACTTTTGTAATACTTCAAGAAGGATGGGTATTAGCTCTTCTTTAAATGTTTGATGAAGCTATCTGGTCCTGGGATTTTGTTTGTTGGGAGTTTTTTGATTACCAGTTCAATTTTGTTACTGGTAATTGGTCTGTTGAGATTTTCTGTTTATTATTACATCAGTCTTGGAAGGTTGTATTTTTCTAGGAATTTGTCCTTTTTTTCTAAATTGTCAAGTGTACTGGCATATAACTTTTCATATACTTTTCTAATAATTCCTTGTATATCTCTGGTATCCTTTGTGACTATTCCTTTTTTGTTTTTAATTTTGTTTATTTGTGTACTTTCTTTTTTTTCTTGCCAGGTCTGGCTAGGGGTTTGTCTATTTTGTTTATTTTCTCAAAGAAACAAGTCTTGATTTCATTGATTTTTTTTTTTGGCATTGTTTTATTCTTCTCTATTTCTGCTGTGGTCTTTATTATGTCCCTCCTTCTAGTAACTTAGGGTTTCATTTGCTATTATTTTTATAGTTTCTTTAATTGTGAGTTCAGACAGTCTTTTGGGGATTGTTCATGTTTCTTATACTGCAGTGTTCTTCCTTCTTAGAACTGCTTTTGTGGTATCCTACAAATTTTGGACTGTTGTATTTTTGTTTTCATTTGTCTCCATGTATTGCTTGATCTCTCTTGTGATTTGTCTATTGATCCACTGAATATTTAGAGGTATGTTGTTTAGCTTCCATTTGTTGGTGGGCTTTTTGTGTGTGTTTGTAATTTATTTCTGGTTTCATACCATTGTGGTCTGAGAAGTTGCTTGACATGATTTCAATCTTTTTAAATTTATTGAGGCTCTTTTTGTAACCTAGTATGTGATCTATTCTGGAGAACGCTCCATGTACACTTGTGAACAATGTGTATCCTACTGCTTTGGGGTGGAAAGTTCTGTAGGTTTGTGTTAAGTCCATCTGATCTAATGTGTTGTTCAGTGTTTCCTTATTTACTTTTTTATTTTATGTTTCGTTGATCAGTCTGTTGATGTATGTGGTGTGTTAAAGTCTGCTAATACATACAAATTGCAGTATATTTTCCCCTTTATTCTATTAATGTTTGGTTTGCATATTTAGGTGCTCCTATGTTGGGTGCATAGATGTTGGTAATGGTTATGTCCTCTTATTGGACTGACATCTTTATCATTATGTAATGTCCTTATTTGTCTCTTGTTATTGTCTTTGTTTTGAAATCTAGTTTGTCTGATATAAGTACTGATAATCCTGCTCTTTTCTTTCTACTATTTGCATGAAATATCTTTTTCCATTCCTTCTCTTTCAATCTGTGTATGTCTTTAGGTCTGAAATGAGTCTCTTGTAGGCAATATATAGATAAGTCTTGTTTCTTTAGCCATTCTGCCACCCTATGTCTTTTGATTGGTGTATTCAGTCCATTTACATTTAAGGTAATTATTGATAGGTATATACTTGCTGCCATTTTCTTATTTGTTTTCTGGCTGTTTTTGTAGTTCCTTTCTGTTCCTTTCTTCTTCCCTTATACTCTTCTCTTGCTATTTGATCATTTTCTTTAGTATTGTGGTTGGATTTCCCTTTTTAAATTTTTTTCTGTATTAATAGGCTTTAGGTCTGTGGTTACTGTAAGGTTCATGGATAGTTTCCTAACTTTATAATAGTCTATGTTAAGTTGATGATCGCTCTATTTCAAACACAATCTAAAAGTACTTCTTTTTTTGTGTATACCTTGACTGATTTTGTGTACAGTTGGTTTTATTACTTCTGTTTTAATTTTGTACTTGCTTGCTAATTGGTGTACTAATTTTATTGTGGGTTTATTTTCACTGGTAAAAACTAATTAGGCTTACGAACATTTCCATCTACAGAAGTCCCTTTAACATATCCTGTAATGTGGGTTTAGTGGTTGCAAATTCTTTCAGGTTTCATTTCTCTGGGAAATATTTAATCTGTTCTTCAAATTTGAATGATAATCTTGCTGGGTAGGGAATTTTTGGTATGTCCTTCTGTTTCAGTATATTAAGTATTTCATGCCACTCCCTCTAGTCTGTAAATTTTCTACTGAGAAATCTGCTGATAGCCTGATGGGTTTTCTCTTATATGTAATCTTTTATCTCTGGCTGCTTTCAATACCCTCTCCTTACTGTTAATCTTTGTGATTTTGATTATTATGTCTTCATATTGTCTTCCTTGGGTTCCTTTTGTTAAGGGCTTTCTGAGTTTCCAGGACCTGGGTATCTATTTCCTTCCTCAGACTGGGGACATTTCCAGCAATTATTTCTTCCAAGAGACTTTCTGCTCCTTTGTCTCTGTCTTCTCTTCCTGATACCCCCTATTATGCAAATATTGTTTCATTTCATTGCCACACAGCTCTCTTAGTATCCTCTCATTTCTAGTTTCTTTTGTTTTTTCTCTTTGTTCCTCAGCTTCATTGTTTTCCTGTTCTCTAATTTCCATCTCATTGATTGTCTCCTCTGCTTGCAGCAATCTATTATTCATTCTCTCCATTGTACTTTTCATTTCAGTTACAGTATTCTTCAGTTCAGAGTGGCTCTTTTATCTTTAACTCTTCTATTTTATTTTAACCCTTCTATTATTTTAACTCATATCTCTGTTGAAATCCTCCGAGATTGTCAATACTTTTCCACAGATCAGTGAGCATATTTATAACTGTTACTTTGAAATCTTTATCAAGAAGATTGGTGATCTCCATTTCACTTAGCCCTCTTTCTGGTGTCTTATCCTGTATTTTTGTTTGGAAAATATTCTTTTGCCTCCTCATTTTGTCAGGGTTTCTGTGTTTCTTCCTTTGTATTAGATAGATCTGCTATGTTTCCTGGTCTAGAGAGTAATGGCTTTATGAAGAAGGTGCCCTGTGGTGCCCAGAAGCTGAAGCTCAAGACTCTTTCCTCTCCAGTGCCTGGTTCTCCTTTGCAGTGGAGCCCCAGTTGCTGTTGGGCTATGGGTAGGACCACTTTTCTGTCTGCTGGCAGTGGTTTATCTTAGTCCACCAAGGATGAAAGTTTTCCTTAGCTGGCCCTTTGTGAGTGGAGCAGGGGAGCTTCATTCTGTTGGGGTCATTGTGGATGGTTTGCCCTCTTCCTACCCTGCAATGATGGCCATGCTGCTTTGCTAACAGGGTGGGTGCAGTGGTCGTGGGGCTCTAGGGTGGTACATGGTGTCAGAGTGTACTATCTTGCAGTGCACTGCAGTGGGGTGTAATGGTGCATGGTTATGGCAGGGTGCTAGGGCATGTGGCACTGGGCTGGGCCGTCTGTGAGGAGGAAGGACCTCTTAGAGGTGGCTCTCCCAGAAACCTCCCCAGTTGGGCTAAGATAGGGTCAAGAGAGCTTGGAAAGCCTTCCTCTACCTGCTGGGCATCAAAGTCTGATGCTGCTTGGCTGAGCAGGCAGAGTGGCTGGCAGGTAGTGTGCAGGGACACTCATCATGGCTCAGCCGTCAGCAAAGGGGATGGAGCATTTGGGCTTCCAAGAATGCCTAACCTGTTGAGATGAGGGAGAGTTAGGGAAATGGGATGGAGCAAGGGCTTGGGTCCGGATTGATTGTGGCTCTGCCACTTTACTCTTCTCTGTGTGGTTTTCTTTTTCACCATTTTTAACATTTTTAACATTTATATATTTAGTTATTCATGAATTATTTCATTAGAAGGCTTAAACTTATTTCCCCTGACATGTCAGGTCTGTTGTCCCAAAATCATTTGTGGTACAATACATATTTTCCCTACTGAATGGAAATATCACTTCTATTTTGATATGATCCCATCTTTCCTCATATTGTCCTTCCTCTAGGCTGAGGCATTGCCATTTCACTGCTCTTAGCAGTGAACACCTGTCATCCTCTCTCCTACACAAGAGCCTGCCACATCTGGATCTCGGGTCTAACCAGCTACACGATGATGGAGTGATGCTTCTGTGTGATGTCTTTTGGCATCCATGCTGTGATCTTCAGCACCTGGAGTAAGTTTTCTGTGACCTTACTTTTGCATAGCCTTAACTACTGTGAGGGCAGGGGATTGATGTGGAAAGAAAAGCTGGGAGCTGAGTATCTGTCAGAGAAGAATACACAGCTGATTACCTCTCTCTCCTCCTGCCTTAGACATCCTGGGAAGTCTGTCCATCATATTTTTCTTAAACAGTTACTCCAGTTATTAAAATCAACTTCCTTCAGGTAGTGGGGACCAGAGACATCAGGCTGAACAGTAGCCATTTAATTTTTTACTTAACTGTGGCCCAGTGAGTGTAATGTGTGTCCTCTACTTTACATCCATGAAACTAGAATTGTGCTCTACTAATTTTTATTTCTTAAATTAGATTAATAATTAATTCAACTCTTAAAGAAACTAGGAGGGGAATATTTTAAAATATCCAAAAATCCAGTCATTCTTAAACACCAGTTTTTATTCCTATTATGTTCTCTCTTACTCTGTGAATGGGCAAACACACTTGTACATGGTATGTGTATATGTAGTTGTGGCTACTGTATTGACATAACTTTGAGGTTTCCTTTTCACATGATAGTGTTTCAGTGTTAAACACATTTAACTACTTATTTATGAAATCATATTATTTAATGGCTCAATAAGTTTAATAATTCATTGTATAAATCTTGTGGCTACAGTGAAACAAGATACAGTGTCACTAGCAATATTGGTTCCTACTTTCCCACTAGGGCCTCCTATGGAACTAGAAGCCTTGGGGAGTCATTAAGGGACTAACCCCCATGCTGTGTTTTAGAACTATAAAGCCAAGATTGTTAGACCCAGAGGTGTTTGGCTTCACTGGACTGACTCGCAATAACCAAATTTCTAAATGAGTTTAATAGTTGGTTGTCATATCTGTAAACACTAAGGTGATTGAACTCTTGGGTCTAACAAGCACCAGTACTTCATTTAGGAAAACATATATGAAATGGGTTATGATGTGATTCTCTGAAGCTTCTTTGTTCATTATTCAACTGGAAGACAAAATCTCACTAATGGAAATTATTAGTAAATCCAACACCTTCAGTACAGCTACAGACATATGACTTCTAAGTAACCTGTAAACACAAAATGTTTGCTTAGCCACTTTCTCTCCTTAGCATTGCTGTGAACACATAGACAAATGTGTGCTTTCTCTGCTACCTTCATAGCCTCTGTGCAGTTCAGGCCAGTTCTCCCCACCAGTATTTATGACACATGTGAGCTAGATGCTGAGGGACTAACGGTTATTGCTAAAGTGATGCTTTTGACCTCAGGTAACTCAGGAATGCTGGTGACAGGGAAACAAGCCAACTATAACATATTCCATATGCTGTTACAAAGATATGGCAGAAGTCCCAAGGCACAAGGAGCAGGACAGAGGAGATTGAATTACTTTATGTTGAAAGCTGAAGGGGATTTTGTTATGTGCAGATACCTTAGGCAAAAGGAAAGGAGAGAGAAAAGAAGGAGACTGAGAATAGGTGTCATTTATTTATTTGTAAAAAGTAAATGTGTATGGTTGGAGAATAGGTGGGAGAAAATCTAGGCGGGTTGATGGGAAACCTGAGAAGAAACAGTTTTATTCGCTGGTCTTTTTCCTCAGTGAGAAGTACTGTCTGTTTCTGCTGGTAATGTTAGACCTTCCTATATGTGTCCTGCATGGTAGATAGAAAGGGTCAGAAATAAGGCTCAGCTATCAGGGCATCTTTAAGCTTCACAACTAAATGTCTCCTCTTTTATATTTCCGATAGATTGATGGGCTGTATTCTTACTAATGCACGTTGTCTGGATCTGGCTTCTGCTATTTTGAACAACACAAACCTGTGGAGCCTGGACCTTGGGAACAATGACTTGCAGGATGATGGAATTAAAATTCTGTTTGAGGCTTCGAGACATCCAAACTGTAACATTCAGAGGCTTGGGCGAGTTCAGTTTTCATTACCAAGTGATACCTGTTTGGTGGCTTGCAGGGCTAGAAGAAATTTAGTATATGGAGAAAGCATGAAAAGTAAATGGGGCTAGAAGGTAAATTATTCTCAGAAATGAGAATCTGAATTTCAAATATATGGGATCAATGTATATTACATTAGCTTAGAAAGCATAGTTCATATTTCTTGGACACCTCCTTAGTACCCTGGACAGGTGATGTGTTAGGTAAGTGGTACTTGATTGAGGTCATCCATGTTCCATCATCCCCTTCAGATAGTCCATTTGTCCCTGAATTTATTTTTCTTTTTAAATCAAAGATTTTACTAATCATCTATCTGGAAAAATGCTATCTATGCTCTCAAGGATCTTGCAATCTAATAAAATCTCGCCCTTTGTTCTGAGTACTTTTTATGTTCAATCATATATTTTGTAGTTTTTTATTTCCTTTTTAAATCTTGAACTGATATTGCCTAGTACAGTTTTACTTGCACATCATAAATTATTGTCTTGGGATCAAGAACTTTGTATGTTGGAAGCCCAGATGATATGATGTGTCTCTTTGACTTTTCCAAGAAAGTGCTGCTTTTTCTGTTTCTATTGACTGTTTATATATTTTTATCACAACAATGATGATGATATAACCGTTGAGTCTGAAATTAAATTTTATCCTGCTTACAACCTAAAAAGTTTCATGGATTCTGGCAGGAAATACAAAATTCTGTGAGACAGAGGACTTTAATATTCATGGCACAGAACATAAGCATTAGCATGTTTGTGCCAGTTTTCATTGTCCCTCTTGCCCCACAGGGTCCATGGGGAGGGAGGGCCTGGATAGATGCCTGCACATGCAGTGGGTTGCATCCCAGGAGAGAAACACTGAGCTTGGGGAGCCCACCGTTTTACAGCGGACAACAAGCAGGCCTGCTCTCTGTCCTGGAGGAAGACATTTCCTCTTCCCTCCAAGTGGCTCAGTGTATGCACACTTGGAAAATGCCCCAGGTGAGGGGGGTCAGGGCCTTGCATTTTTTGTCAGCCAAACATGTAGGAGAGTGAAATGGAAGAATGTCTCCCATCAATACCCACCCCTTTTTTTCTACCCATTACAGTCTTGGTTAATTTTCACATGGATACGACACTCCTTTGACCACTCACATCAATCTGACTGACAAAGGCTGGACCAATCTGTTTACTTTGTCCTTTATACCATTTAGTCAAGGCCACTATCAACAAGACTCCAAGCACAGGATGAAGTTAAATTCCAGTACTGATTTCTATGCCCTCAGGGTCCTGGATTCAGCCAACTGAGTAAGACCCAAGGAGGACCAGTAGGCCTCGTTACCATGACAGCTCATGAAAGGGAATTTAGAATGACTGACTGACCTTGGAATCATTGGCAGTAAATAGAGGGGGCAAAAAATCAGCCAAACACAACCCCATTCCCAATAAAGAGACATTCAGTTGTTCAAACTTCTACATGTATAAACATAACCTGAAGGAACATAGGTCACTCCAGTGGGGGATTTGTTATATGTGACTTGGGTCACCATTATGTAGGTTTGGTTATGGGCAGTGTCACTGAGTAGTTACAGATGCCTTGTTAGCCATATAGCAAAACCCAAGTTGTTCAGGCATCACAAGAAGCTTACAAAGCTGTATCAGATGGAAGCAAGGTTGTACCAGTTGCTGTGTTGGTACACATATGATAGGGGTCCACATTTGGGGGCATCAAGCACAGCAGAATAGTTCAGGACCTGCCATGTCCACATGAGACGGTATTTTCATAGCTTATGGACAGCATGACAAACCAGACAGTGGGTCGGGTTGCCCACCATAGCTGCTATTTGACTCAAGCAGACCACATAATTGTTTTGCCAGTGGCAGTATTGGGCCCAGAGGAAAAAAGAAATCGTTAATTGTTCTCTCCATTCCCTGCAGCTCTCAGGTTCTAAGATGTTCTTTCCCCTGGTATTGGTGTCACTGCTCTTCCCACACAGCCCTGAAATCAGTGTCTATAACTAATGTCTATCACAGTTCTGGTGTCTATAACTTCCCTTGCTCTCCAATCATCCCCCACTTGCACCCAGGCCTTTACTCTCCGGGGGTCAGGTGGGAGAGGAACAAAAGCAGTTTTGCAGTATTTACAGAAAACCATTATATTCTACACCTTGGCCAGTAGGGGGACTCGTTGAGCAATATGCTCAACCAAGTGATTATTACTCTCATGATCTAGGACCTTGTCAGTCCGAAGGAGGCTCCAGGTGTTTGACCCTGAATTAGATTTGAACTCTATTGACCCTTTTTGGCTGGCCTGCCTCCATGGAGGGTGTACCAATCAGGCTGGCCTGGAGTTGCTGATAGAGAAATCATCATGCCCAGGATTGGTCAAGATGTAGTCTCCTGAAATTTCAAAAGTTATATGTAACTTACCCTTTCATCCTAAACATTACTCAGGAGGTGGCCAGATACTAATGAACGATTTCAGGAGATAGCTGCATGTAGTGACCAGAATGCCCTGCTAAGGTACAGAGATGAGGAGGAGATGAGGGGACGCAGCATTAGAATCTTTTTAGTATTTGAAGGGGCATTCCAGCTGCCTGTGGATGGTAGGGCCCATGTACTATTAGCTGAGCACCTGGACCATTGGCCCAACTTCTTTCAAAATGGGCAACATGGGTGCTCACCCCTTGCCTCTTTGCGTATCTGAGAATGTCTTATTTTTCTATGAACTTGAATGGCAGCCTGACTGTTCATATTTTGGTCATCCTTCTTCTGAGAGTTTTATAGAAAGAGTTCTAAAGAAATCACTGGTAGCACTGAATCTAGTTACAGAAAAGTCTGAAACCAGTTGATTGTTCCTCAATAGGGTTCTTACTGGTGAAAAATACTTTTAGTTTATTTGCCTGGATGTCCGAATTGCTCTTTAGGTACAATAATATGTCCTATGTTGAATTTTCTTATTAATATTTTTCTGGGGAAATGGTATGCCATTGCAATCTGTAGATTGAGTTTATTTTTGTAGGCTCTGCTTTTCTTTAATTTCTGCTTATCTATTTAATATTTTTGAGGTTCATTACCCTTACGTTGGATTGCTTTTGTCTGTCTGCTTTATAATTTTTTTCTAATTTTTTAAAGCTTGTTCTCCTTTTGCTCGATTTTTCTCTAACCCATCCTCCATATTCCTCTGTATTTTCAGCAGTTTTTTTTTTGCTTCTTCTAATGTCATTTTCATTCTGTAATTTTTATTTTTCTCTTCTGATATTTTTAAGATCTGCCAAATCATATTCTAAACATTTTCATTGTGAAATATAAAACACAGATAAGTGAATAAAACTAATATTTAAAAAAATCAAACATATGTATAACCTCATCCAGGTCAGTAAATTGGCTTTCCCCAGTAAATTAAATTCCCCTCAATCATCCCTGACAGATCACTTCATCCCTCCTGCCTAAGAAGTGACCATTAGCCTGACTTTTGTGGCCATCATTAATTGGTTTTTCTGTGCAGTGACCTTGAGTGTATCTTATCCTAACCAAAATATTGTCAACATTTGCCTGATTTTGATCTTTACATATGTAGAAACATATTGAGAATCATAGTCTAGGTATTCCTTTGTGCTATGATTTTTTAAGTCAATGTTATGACTTAAGAGTCATCCGGTTGTTTTACATAGCTGTAGTTAATTCATCTTTATGACCATAAAATATTCCAGTGAATGACCATATCACAGACTATATTCTATTGTAGATGGACTTGTGGGTTGTTTTCATTTCTTTTCTTGCTAATGCTGCTATGAATATTTTAATATGTCAATTCTGAGGCATGTATGTAGACCTTTATGTAGGGTGAATAATTAGGAGTGGATTTGTTACACTGTGGGGAATATGTCTTCAAATTTATCAGGTACTGTCAAAAGGATTGTACCAATTTATTCTACTATTGGCAGCGTGTAAGAGTTCCTATTCTTGGGGAGGGAAAAAAAAGAGTTTCTATTCTCTATTCTCACCCATGTTGTCTGACTTAATTTAAATAATTTTAGGCAGTTGGGTGGATGTTTTGGTATCTCATTGTGGTTTTAGCTTATATTTCTCTGATTAAAGAGAGGTTCAACCCTTTTTCATATGTTTAATAGCCATTTGGATTTCCTCTTTTGTAAAGTTCTTTTTCAATTATTTTGTCCATTTTCCAAAGGGTAAGCTATTTTTTCCCTTACTGATTTGTAGGGTTCTTTTTCACCTACAGTATATTCTGGTTATGAACCCCTACCACTTAATGTATGTGACAATAACTTGGGCTTTTTTTACTCTTCATGGTGTCTTTTCCAGAAATGAAGAACTTAAGTGTACCATAGTTAGATTATTCCTTCACTGTTAGTGTCTTTTGTAATTGTTTAGAGAATATTTCCCTGTGGTTAGAAAGACATTTTATTGTCTTCTAAATGTAAAAGAGAAGTTATAAAGCTTTTGGGACTTTAGCTTTTAAAAATATGGTTGGGAGATACAGTCTAATTTATTTCCTATATGGATAATCACTTTTCAACAAAATTTATTGAAACTTTTTCTCTTCTGTTTGGCAAGGCCACCTTTGTTATAAATGAAGTCTTCATTGGTGCATGACTCTATTGCTGGGTGTTCTCAATTCTTTTCCATTGTCCTGTTTGTAATTTCCCTGTCTCAGCAATGTACTGATTTAATACAACTCTGTAATGAGCCCCGAGGTCCAGTAGAGCAAGTCTTCCCATCTTCTTAAGAGAATGTTAGCCCTTCTTCCCCTTTGCATTTCCAAATAAAAATTTAAATATCAGCGTATCAAGTTACACATGCAAGCACAAGCACCTTCCCACATCCCTACCTATATATTGGCATTTTGTTTGGAATTGCATAAAATCTGTAAATCAAGGAGTGTCCTGATACATCAAAATGATATACTCCTTATTTATTTAGATCTATCAATAAAGCTTAGTAATTTTTCCTTTTCATAGTCCTTTATTTTGTTGTTTCACTTTTAGTAAATACTTGCTATATTTCAATGTTATTGTAAATGGCTGTTTTTGTTTTCTCATTTATTCATATACATAAAAACAGTTGGATTTTGTATGTTAATTTCATATCCAATAGACTGTTACATTCTCTGGTTGGTTCTGACTGCTTATTTGTAGATTCATTTGGATTTTCTAGATACACAGTCATATCATTTGGGGAATGATAGGTTTTTTCCTTTTCTGCCCTTACGTTTTTTTTCTTTTTATTGCCTTAGTGACTGCTAAGACATGCGACATAATGTTAATATGTTGGTTGCTTAGCTCATAAATATTTCTTCTTTTCCAACACTTAAGGTTATGATTTTCCTTCAAATCACTGCATCCACTTCATCCTACAAGTTTTGGTAGTATGTGCAGTTGTTTCTCTATTTTTGAGTCTAAAGTGTTTAACTTCCCTTATGATTTTTCCTTGAACCTATGGGTTAAGGTACTCCTTAACTTTCAAANCTCTTGCATCTTATCCATTCTGCTTATAAATCCTTCCAGAGTTTGTTTCACTTCTGTGATCTCCCTCCAGACATCTGTAATTTCCCTCCGGACTTCATCCCTTAGCTCTTGCATATTTCTCTGCAGCTCTGTCAGCATGTTTATGCTTTTTATTTTGAATTCTTTTTCAGGGAGACTGGTTAGGTCTGTCTCTGCAGATCCTCTCTTAGGTGTTATCTGAACTATCTTGGACTGGACTAAGTTTTTTGCCTTTTCATGGTGATAGTGGTAACTGTTGGTAGGTTGTGGGTGTCTCAGCTGGGAGAAGAAAGTCCTTTCCTGTTTGCTGGATGCCTTGCCCTTCTCCACTGCCTGTCAGTTACCCACACTCCTGGAGCAGCCACAGGGTTAGTCCCCTAAGCTGCTGTGGGTGGGGTCTCCGTCAGAGCAGTACAGAGCCCTGTGGGGAGTGGCAGGCATGACAGGTGCACTCCGCCGTGCCAGTGGTGCCCCTGCCAGGCAGCTGTGTGCCAGCAGCGGCCTTTGGTCTGGCCCGGGTGGCTGTGCATTGGGCTGTGATTCCGGTCAGCTGCTGGGTGCGCTCCTGCTCCCTCTGGCTCCATTGCAGGTGTGCACGGGGCTCTCTACTGGGCTCCTCTGGCTCCACTGCTGCCAGTGCATACGAGCCATACCCTGGCTGTTCGCTTGCTGCCGCTGCGCTATCGCAGAAGCTTCTCCTATCTCCTTTGGCGCCATTGGCACACGCGATCTGATCCTGGTCCCTCCCGGTGCAGCTGCCCCCGGAACGCACTACCGCTCTCCTGCTCCTGGGCTGGTGTGTCGGGGTCCGCGCCAGTTGGAGGAATGACTGGCAGGCTGCTTAGTGCCATGATGGGCTTCAGAGCTGCACTGCCTCCCCGGGGTTTTAGGGTGCCTAAGATTCCCCGGGATTCCCAGCTGCTCGCTAAGTGTGCTGCGACGACTTCATCCAGCTATGGGGTCCCTGTCTCTTTAAGACTTGCAGAAAGCACTTGCTTTTCTTTTGTCAGGGGCGCCAGTTGCAGGGACCTGCCCACAGGTTTTGCATTTCCATTTCTGTAATATCCAGCACCCCGTGCACCTTGTGTCTGTGCTCCGGGTATGGATTTCTAGAGCTGGTTGTTTAGCAGTCCTGGGCTTTCACTCCCTCCCCATTCTTATTCCTTTCTTCCCACTGGGCTCTATGGTGGTGGGGCGCTCGGGTCCTGCCTGGCCATGGCTTGTATCTTACCCCCTTCATGTGATGTTGAGTTCTCAAAGATGTAGATGTATGCTGGTTGTTGTACTGTATCCACTGGTGTCTCTTTTAGGAATAGTTGTATTTATTGTATTTTCATAAATATATGTGTTTTGGGGAGGAGATTTCCTCTGAACTACTCATGCCGCCATCTTTCCGTGATGCGCAAATAATGGGTAATATGCCTGGTTCATTATAACTTGACTTTTCTGCCCTCGTAATAATTCCGCGAACCTATGAATATTTTAATATATGAATTCTGAGGCATGTATGTAGAGATTTATGTAGGGTGAATAATTAGGAGTGGATTTGTTACACTGTGAGTAATATGTCTTCAAATTTGTCAGGTACTCTGAAAAGGAGTGTAACAATTTATTCTACTATGGGTGGCATGTAAGAGTTCCTATTCTTGGGGAGGGAAAAAAAAGAGATTCTATTTTCTGTTCTCACCCACCTTGTCTGACATAATTTAAAAAATTTTAGCCAGTTTGGTGTATGTTTTGGTGTCTCATTGTGGTTTTAACTTATATTTCTCTGATTAAAGAGAGGTCCAACCCTTTTTCATGTGTTTAATGGCCATTTGGATTTCCTCTTTTGTAAAGTTCTTTTTCAATTATTTTGTCCATTTTCCAAAGGGTAAGCTATTTTTTCCCTTACTGATTTGTAGGGTACTTTTTCACCTATAGTATATTCTGGTTATGAAACCGTATCACTTAATATATGTGATAATAACTTGGGCTTTTTTCACTCTTTATGGTGTCTTTTCCCGAAATGAAGAACTTAACTGTAGCATAGATTCTTCCTTCACTGTTAGTGTCTTTTGTAATTGTTTAGGGAATATTTCCCTGTGGTTATGAAGACATTCTATTGTCTTCTAAATGTAAAAGACAAGTTATGAAACTTTTGGGACTTACCTTTTAAAAATATGGTTGGGAGATAAAGTCTAATTTATTTCCTGTGTGGATAATCACTTTGTCAACAAAATTTATTGAAACTTTTTCTCTTCTCTTTGGCAAGGCCACCTTTGTTATAAATTAAGTCTTCAGTGATGCATGACTCTATTGCTGGGTGTTCTCAATTCTTTTCCATTGTCCTGTTTGTAATTTCCCTGTCCCAGCAATGTACTGTCTTAATACAGCTCTGTAATGAGCCCTGCGGACCAGTAGAGCAAATGTTCCCATCTTCTTCTTAAGAGAATGTTTGCCCTTCTTCCCCTTTGCATTTCCAAATAAAAATTTAAATATCAGCTTATTAACTTACACGTGTAGGCACAAGCACCTCCCCACATCCCTACCTATATATGGGCATTTTGTTCGGAATTGCATTAAATCTGTAAATCAAGGAGTGTCCTGATACATCAAAATGATATATCTCCTTATTTATTTAGATCTATCAGTAAAGCTTAGTAATTTTTCCTTTTCATAGTCCTTTATTTTGTTGTTTAACTTTTAGTAAATACTTGCTATATATCAATGTTATTGTAAATAGATGTTTTTGTTATTTTTTCATTTATTCCATATATATAAAAACACAGTTGGATTTTGTATGCTAATTTCATATCCAGTAGACTGTCACATTCTCTGGTTGGTTCTGACTGCTTATTTGTAGATTCATTTGGATTTTCTAGATTCACAGTCATATCATTTGGGGAATGATAGGATTTTTCCTTTTCTGCCCTTACTTTTTTTTCTTTTTATTTCCTTAGTGACTGCTAAGACATGCAACATAATGTTAATATGTTGGTTGCTTAGCTCATAAACATTTCTTCTTTTCCAACACTTAAGGTTATGATTTTCCTTCAAATCACTGCATCCACTTGATCTTACAAGTTTTGGTAGTATGTGAAGTCATTTCTCTATTTTTGAGTCTAAAGTGTTTAACTTCCCTTATGATTTTTCCTTGAACCTATGGGTTAAGGTACTCCTTAATTTTCAAATGTAGAGGCATTTCTTGCTATCTCTTTATATTTAACCTCTAGCACTGGGGTCTGAGAACACATCATTTATATTCTCAGTTGTTTGGGGTTTGTTGATATCTGCTTCCTGGCCCAGTGTGTAGCCAGTGTTTATCTGTGTTTCACAGGCACTTGAAAAGAACATGCAGAGCTGCTGGTTGCAGTATTCTATATCAGTTTATTAAGATTGTTAATTCTGTTGTTCAGATCCATCTATAGTTTAATGATTTTTTTGTCCAGGTAACTCAATTACTGTGAAAAATGTGTTAAAAGTCTCCATTATAATTGTAGATTTGTGTCTTTCACTTTGTTCTGTTTTTGTTTTCTATGCTTTGAGGCTCTGACTAGTAACTATAGATTTAGAATGGTTATGTTTCCTCATGAATTTTTGTTAACCTTTTATGTCTCACAGTGCTTTTTACATGAGGTAATAAGACTATTGCTCCATCACATTAACGTGAGTTCCATGTGGAAAGTAATGTGGGGAAAAAATAAGGTTTATATACTCAGCACTGATACAGGCACTCAGTTGTTGAATGGCTAGGTAAACGTAAGGTGAAAATTAAAATTAGTTGGTTGAGGGCATCATCAGGTGCAGAAGGTTGAGTTTGACACACTTTCTAAGTTCATAGTATTATATGGTTGGTTTACGCAAGAGTCCTCTATTGACTACTGGTTGGTTGGTTAGTTGGTTTATTTATCTCCATTAACCATTCTCTTTCCCCTCTCTCGGCAAGTGACCTAGTGTATTTGAAGTATGCCATAGAACTGTGAGTAGCCTTGTAAAAGATGTACTACTGTTTTTTGGTGAATGCCTTTTTATTTGTACATATGGCATGGTGCTGGAGGCCTAATTATATACTTGCTTTTTAAACACTCAATTCCGTATTTCTAAAATCTGCTTATGCTGCTATCATCTTAATGATATTCAAGGATTCAACTACTTCATAGTTTTCCTTAGTGTGTTTCCATATTTTATTTATTCCCTGGACTCCAATTATGAATTTGCAATTCCTGATTTGGGAAGGCACTTATCCAATCTATACATATCTAGTAATCATAATATTATAAGTATTTATATTCTTTGAATTTACTCGAATTGTGCTCACTCTTTTTTTAAGTTTCTGGTATTATCCTACACTCCCAGCTCACAGATCTCTTGTGTGCTTGCTCAGGGTAATGGGATAAAGTTAATTTTATCTTGAGCCTCTCTTTCTGCAGGCTGAAATACTGTGATTTGACCTCTCTGTTGTCAAAATCTGTCCTCTACTCTTAGCAGCAACCAAAAACTGATAAAAATAAATCTGATGCAGAAAACTTTAGGGTGTGAAGGCATTATGAAATTATGTGAAGCCCTGAGGTCTCCTGAATGTGAATTACAAGTGCTAGGGTAAGTCTTCACTGGTTTCTCAGGGGCAAGTTTCCTGTAACAAGGGCCTGGGGAGCCACTGGTATATTATAGGCCTCAAGATCAGCCTGACTGTGGATCCTTGGTATTTTCAAGGCTCTTAGTTGTGTTTTCCCTATAGAACACTGCATTTTGAAAGACTTAACATGGCATTGCGGTTAAGTGCCAAGACCTTTAGAGCCAGACTATCTGACTTTGAAATCTGGCCTTGACACTTATTAGGTATTTGAACTGGCACTAGTCCCTAATCTCTGTTTTGGTTTCCTTATCTGTAAATGGCTGAAATGATAATATCTACCCATGGGGTTACTGTGAGCATTAATTGACTTGAGTCTATACAGGAGGTGTTAAGAACAGTGCCTAGCATGTAGCAAACAATGTGTGCATGTGTCAGCTGTCCTCAGCATCATCATGAGTAGTAATACTTTGCTTGACTAGAAAAAGGCTCTTGGAGGATCCTTTAAAGTTTAATCGATTTCTCTCTTTCTACTCTATATTGCATTTAAATTCGACTGCTGGATCTTCCTCCCTGTGGCCCTTGGTTTCCTTTCCCACTCCTCAGCCATGTCATGTGACTATTCTCTACTTGAACAGTTTCCCCCTGAAGTAAATCCTTCAGAGACAGTAAAGAACTGTGAGGAAAATGGATGCAGGAAGAGATGTTTCCTTGTTTTCTCAGGTTGTGCAAAGAGGCATTAGATGAGGAAGCCCAGAAGCTGCTGGAAGCTGTGGGAGTTAGTAGTCCTCACCTAGTCAGTCAGTCTGATTGTAATGATCACAGTGAAGAAAACTGTTCCTGGTGGCAGTGTTTCTGACTTAAAGAACCTGGTAGTCTTTAAAATAAAGACCTCAGAGTGACAAGGCTTAGGGCTCAGCTGTAGATACTCTATGCCCAGACATACTGCATTTGATAAGCTTCATATCAGTTAGTCCCTTCTCTGTAAAATGTCTGTTGTGCTTCACATGGGGGTTGAGACACTAGAATGGAAAAGATAAAGTTCTGTGAAGAGTGTAACAGGATGTTTTTAACTGGATACAGAGCTTAATAATTCAAATGTGAGAAGCCTAGAAATGGGACTGGAAGCTGAAGCCAGGGAAGAGTATGTTAAAGTATGTTAAAGCAGCTACTTCTTTTCTCTCTGTTCCCACTGCCATGGTTACTTTACAACCTCACCACCTCTGGCGCATTTTGCTGAATGCTTCTCCATCTGTGTGTTTGAGACCACCAGCGTCAGAATAGCTTGGGTGTTTTTCTAAAGACAGATTCCTGAGCCCCCATCCAACTTACTGAATCTGAATATCTGGGTGAGGGTTCTAGGAACTGGCATTTTTAGGAGCTTCCAGGCAATTCTTAGGTACATTAGTATTTGAGAATCACTGGTCTCAATAGAAATGGGAATCCACTTCTGCAGTGAACATTTCCAGGAGCCTACAGTGAAGGTGTAAAGAGATAGGATTATTGGGTACAGAGCTAAAATGGGTTCCTCTGTTTGGCAGAAACATGTGCAAAGTTTTCTGTGAAGGACTATTAATACTGTGCAAAAATACCACCCCCAAATTTAGTGGCTTAAAACAATAACCACTTTGTTCTACCTCATGACTTGGTAGATGAGAATTCGGAAAGGGTGAGCTGAGCATTACTTCCGTGACATCTCTTGGAGACCCTTGGTCCTCCAGCTGGCAGCCAAGTTGTTTTGGAGGCTCCAGGAAGACTTCACTCACATGCCTGGTGCCTTGGCATGCCTGGTGCCTTGACAAGGATGCATGCAAGGCTGCGTTTGGCTGGGCACCTCTTCCCTCTAGTCTTAGGCCTCCCTAGATGGTCTCTCCAAGAAGGAAGATGAAATTCCTCAGTGGGGGTTTATGGATGGAAGCTGCCAGTTCTTTTAAAAGCTAGGCCCAGGACTGGCATAAAGTCACTTCTGTCTTATTCCATTGGTCAAAACAGTCCAGGCCAGCCCAGATTCAAGGGCAGTCACTTCTTGGTGGGAGTAGTGTCAAAGAACCAGTGGCCTTCCTTTTGTCTACCACAAACTCCCAATTTTTTCTCCCTGCCCCTTAGCTGGTGTAATAGCTCCTTAATCTATGTGAGAGGATCGGAGATAAGAGTGAACCATGGCAGCAAGAAGGGAGCAGATGGGAAATATGAAAATTTACAAGTAGTGTTAGTGGATCTGATATCTACACAGGACAGTGGCTGACCTGGCACTTATGTTACCTAGAGAGGGGTCATTACTGAGGCTGATTTTCAGTGTTGGCAGTGCTGGCTAGGGAAAGCTAGCCTTGTATTGTCAACAGACTCAGAAGAGAAAGGGTGCATCAAGAGAAGGGCTTTCCTTTCACCTGGTAGCCTTGGGGTGCAGTGAACATCTTATCCTTCAGAGACAACAGTCACAGAATCAAATAGGGTAGTTGAAACAAACTATAGCTTGTCTATCCTTTACAACTTATCTGTTTTCTTTTTTATAAACGAATTATTAAATTATTTATATTGTAAATTCAGTTATCTTTGAATTTGTTAGTAAGCTAATTAAGTTAGATTCTTCCTGATTTCCAGCCTTCTCTCTTTTATAAGCATTAAAGCTATAAATTTCCCTCTGTTTACATTTCACCTTAATTCCCCTGCTTGAATGTGGAGTATTTTCATTAGCATTCATGTCCAAATAGTTTCAGATGAACACTGAAATATTTTATGTCACACAGACCTATAGAAGTATGTTTGTAAGTTTCCAAACATTGGGGTCTTTAAAGTAAATAAGGAGGGCATTAGACTGAGTGGTTCTCATACCATAGTGGCCTATATAAGCAAACCAAAACATTTGCCTGTAAATGCATCAAGGTCCAGAATTCAAAACCTAAGTAAAACCAATCAAACAGCCAACTAGACCTTTCCAAATTAGGTTAAAAAGCTTAAACTCTAGCCAATCAAATAATTTCCTTACTTCACCTTTCCTTGTTCTCTAAAAGTCCTTCCCCAAGCCTTTTCCCTGGAGCACTTCTTACCTCTTCTGGTTTGGAAGTGCATGATTCAAATAAATTTATACTCAAATACTCTGAAAAATTTTAATATGCCTCAGTTTGTCTTTTAGTAGTTCCCTGACTCTTTGTTGGCTATCAACTGCTGGCTGACAAGAATTATTTGCATTGCTATCAGGTTTCTACAAGATAATTTATACTCATCCATGGTTGTGAATCTCCTGTCCTTAGGTTTTGAATTCTGGACCTTGATGCATTTATAGGCAAATGTTTTGGTTTGCTTAAGTAGGCTATTACGGTATTAGAACCACCTCACTCTAATGACCTCCTTATTTACTATGAAGATTCAAAGATTCAAACCCCTAGAAAATCAGATAATCCCCAGCCTGCTAGAGAATGCCTAGTACTGCAATAAAAGGACACCAGTAATCTGTTTACCTATTTTAAACTTTGGAGTAATTTTTCTTAACACTCACCTCTTAAAACAGTGAGTCTCAACTCTGGTCTGGTTATTTTGTTCCAAGGAAGGGTCTTTCTCACCCCTCCTCCGGTGCCCATGGACAAGGAATACAAAGCAAAATGTGAAGGCTAGAAGAGTTTTATTTAACAAGGAGAAAGAACACTCTGGAGAGGGAGGGCAGCCTGAGAGGTCAGGACGAGGGCTGTGTGTCTGATATTTTATAGGAAAGTGTGAAGGGCGGGTTAAGGCGGGGTGGTTGATTGACAGGCAGATTATAACTGCTCTGGCTCTGCGCATGCTCTCACCAGAAAAGCCTATAGAAAACTCCCCAGGGGCTGGGGAATCTAAGGATCATGTGAATGGGCCAAGGCCATTCTCAGACAAGTCGCAGTGTCCTCTGTGCACGGGACAGCGTTGGGGATTTCCTGGCTCTTCTCCTTTCAGGCAAAGAGTGGGTGCAAACCCACCTAGAAAGCTTACCAGCTTCCACCTCCCCCTACCTTTCTTCCGCTCATATCTTACTAATTGCCAACTCTGACAACAGCCTCCAAAGGTTTTTGTTGTCACAGCCTAGAGTTGCTACTGGTATCAAGTGGTTTTCCACACATCAAGTGATCCTGGGATCAAAAGATTTGCGATTTAATCCTGTTACCACCAGTTATGAGCTCTCTAATGTTGGTAGATCTTTGGTATTTTCATGCAATTGAGTTATTTATAAAACGGAGGTTAAAAAATACTACTTGTTTCACAAACACCATGATTCTTTTTTTTTTTTTTATAGTTGTCCTGTATTTTTACTTGCTAAATCTGGTAACCCTACTCCCAGCAACATGCATTGAATGCAAAATTGGGAGATGTTCACAATCAACTTGTATTTTTTCTTGTTGTTTTTCTATTTTTTTAAAATTTTGGTATCATTAATATACAGTTACAT